GATATAAAAGTTCTTGCCCCATTGAGGTAAAGTGATTGTAGCAGAGGTGTGCGGTGTCAGCACTGCTCTACAGTTGACAGGAGATTGGGAGGGAGGCCCTGACAGGTGTGGCTCCCCAGCAGTAAAGAAGATGAACCAGCAGTGGCAAAGTGAGCACAGTTCTCAGGATAGGGGTGGAGGCAGCACCACCCCTTGGCAGGCAGGAAGAGCCTGTCCTGGCTCTCTCTGGACAGGGTGGGGAAGGAATTGGTCTTCTGTGAAAGTGGCTGTGGTAAAGATAGCAAATGGTCTATAACTGCAGATTCTGTGCCATGGCCAAGCGACGAGGCGAGGGTCTTCCCAGCCGAAAGACAGCACTGGTGCCCCCGTCTGCAGACTACTCCACCCCACCACACCGCACAGTGCCGGAGGACACGGACCCTGAGCTGGTGTTCCTTTGCCGCCATGTCTATGACTTCCGCCATGGCCGCATCCTCAAGAACCCCCAATAGCCTCCTTGTGCTCATACTGGGGCTGCCCATGAGCAAGTGGGGCTCAGGGCAGGGAGCACTGCTTGAAGCACAGCACTTGGTTAAGGGGACACAGGGGCCTCTGATTCTCTTTGGTGGGGGGAGGGCAGGGGCCCCTCTGGGTTCTGGGCCCCATGGGAGGGAAGGGAATGCCAGGGTATAAGAAAAGCATCAGAGCCCTCATCAAGCCCTCATCTTGGCCCAGGTACCTGTCTGTGGTCCCTTGAGTGAAGACTCACAAAGAAGCAGTCTTCCCTGAGGCTGGGCCAAACCTGAGGGACCCAGGCCAAGTAGGGGTTGGGGCAAGGAGAAAGGTGTAAGATCCTTTGGGAACCAGGCCCAGCAGGCCCTTCTGTAGCCTCCCCTGGGCCCTCCAAGGGGGAGCAGGAGCCAGCTTTACCTCACCCACTGTGACCCGCTTCTTCCCCATCCGCCTGGGACCAGGCTCTAGATTCTAGCACAGCTCTGAGTTTGTTTTTTTTTTTTTTTTTTTTTTTTTGAGACATAAAGAGCCAGAGCCTGGCTTCCAGAGCATTGACTTCCTAGACTCGGGGCCTTTCCCTGGCTTTCCTCCTTTGCCCCTGCAGTAGCCACTGGTGCTGGGACAAGCTGACCCAGCCCTTGCATTCACGGGTGTGGTCCACTTGTGGGAGTCAGCCTCCTGTCCCCCTCCCTTTGAGGCCACCCAGTGGGTCTGGATTCCCAGAAAGTTAATCAATGTGGGGCTTGTCATGTCTGGGAGGGTGGATGGGTGCTGGGAGAGGGTGGGGGGCAGGGGGCAAGGAAAATTGCTACCTGATTTATTGAAGATTTTTCCTCTTGCCTTACACTTGGAGGTTCTGGGAAACCTCTTGCAGAACTTCACACATGACTCTTCAAGCCACACCCACCTGAAATCAAACCAAAGGAGTGCTGTGGCTCCCCTCGCCCTGCCACCCCTTTACCCTAGTCTTTTTGTAGATTGCACTAATTTACATCCCAGCGAGAATCAACACTGTATCAGTCCACAGACCTGCTGAGCTGCAGCCACTTACCTAGGAGCTAAGAACTTGCATTTTCAGTTTGTTCCTATTGCCCAGAGGCCCTGTTCTCACTCATGCTGCTCCCTAGAGTAGATTGATTAGGAGGCTCAGCTCCCTGTGGTCCTTGCCTGGACTAGGCCAGACCCTGACAACTGGGCTCTCTTGAAGGGGCTGGAGACCCAGTTACTTACTATTTGTACCAAAGAGGAGCACAGTGAGGAGAGGGAATGAGGTGCAGTATGGCGTGGACCTGGTGCTGGCAACCTGCTAGCTGAGCACTTCCATGAGGGCAAGGCAGATGACCCTGGGTCCTCTCTCAGGAAGTGTCAGACACAGGCCCAGCAAGCCTAGGAGGTGGCAATGGGTGAGGACAAATGTGACAGGTGCTGCAGAGGGAGGTGGAAGTGCATTCTGAGGGCACCCTTGGCAACCCCTGTGGGCCCTCTCGTGATCTTAGAAGACAGGTCCTCCTGATTGGTCATTGGGCTGGGTGTGGCCTGGAGGCTTCAGAGGTGAATTTTTGCTTGGGAAGCTGATCCCAAACCTGAAGGGAAGGGACTTGGGTCTCCTTGTATTGAATAAGCTGTTTGGAGGAAGGCATGGGTATAGGAAGGTGGGATAATAAAATAAAAGAGTTTGCAGAGTGGCAGTGGGGGTCCTAGAGAGCCAGCCTTGGAGTCTGCCCATTCAGGGTGCTGCCAAGGAGCCTAGCCTCACCTATAGGAGAGGAGATCAGGGCCCCTCCTCTCAGGAGGCAGGGTCTGCTGCCCAGAACTTAAATGCTTTTGAAATCTCTTAGATGTGGAAATATTTTTTCGAACCTGAAAATGCAGCTGGTAGAATTTCAATGGAAACATAATCCATGTAAAATATATTTTAGTTGATATTTTGTAAAATGCACTTTTTGTGTGTGTCGATCCTGGTTTCCCAGATCTGTATTTCAGTGTTTACAAGGGAGCGGGGGAACCTTTCCTCACCTCCCTTTTGACAGAGATTAGAAGTACTTCTTTAAGAAAATAAATAAATAAATTTGAGAAATTGTATTGATTTAGAAAAGGATCATCGCCTATGTGTCCTGTCATTTTTTGGTGGGTAAATATGGAAGGACTTGCCATTCATATTTTGGAGTCCCACTTAATTACCCTTTGCAGCATGGATGCTCACTGAGGCCAGTAAGCAACAAGGGCAGGAAAGTAGGGGGAAGGGAGACTGTGGCAAGGAGACAGGAATAGGAACTTTAAGTTGACTTTTTAAAAAATATATTTTTAGTTGTAGATGGACATGATACCTTTGTTTTATTTATTTTATGTGGTGCTGAGGATCGAACCAGTGCCTTACACATGCTAGGCAAGCGCTCTGCCACTGAGCTACAACCCTTGTCCCATGAAGTTGACTTCCTGACTTGTGGTCTGTGTGAAATCCTTGGGTTACCAACCTTCACCTGGTCAATGCCAAGGGAGCTGGTCCTTAAGTATGTTTGGTGAAAACACTCCATTCATTACCTTGGGTGACTGACTGGCAGAAACTGACCTAGGCTCAGTCTCTTAACAGCAGGCACTACTTGCTTGCTGGGGAATAAAGGCCACATTATGGGCTCAAGGGTTCGTGACTTGCTGGACCCCTGGTTCAGCCCATTCATAGTCCTGAAGCCTTAGTGTTGGCTCAAGGTGAGGCAGCTAGTTGTAATGCTGTGGAGATTCCTGGTTGCAGAGGCTGCCCAAACCTCGAGCTCTCTTTCCTTAGAGGATACTACTATGGACTGGCTACAGCTCTACCATCAGTATGTTACCCACAAGAGTCCCTTGAGATGGGTGTTAACCTATCCTCATTTTACAGGCAGGAAACTGGTGTAGAGATAAGTACCTTGCCCAAGGACTCCCCCCAGAGTAAATAAGACTCCCTCAAGGACTGCTAACGCAGAAAACTGCCTTCTAACAGGGAAGTCAGCACATGGCAGCCAAATTGTCAAGACTTTTTAATATAAAAGATGTACTTATGGGGGGGTGATTGCAGTAGAAAATAATCCTACCACCAGAATTCTATACATTTACTGCCATTTGAAGCCAGAAGCAGTGTGGTGAAGACTAAAAGTGACCTGACAGCATTGAGGCTGGTGGGGCGGGGAAGGGAGCATGTTCTGAGTTTCTCAGTATTTGCCCTGACTTGTTGAATTTTTGCTCTTGTGGCTAGGATTGGGTGGTTTTTCATGAGCTCTCTAGCTCTCCTTCAGAACCCCCTCATCCATCTGACTAATAGTAGCTTCATTCTTTTATACTCCATCTTCTATGCCTTTACCATCAACAGCCCCTGCCCTGTCCTGAGGTCAGCTATTAACCCCCTCCCATCCATTCCATGTTTTGCTCCATTAATCTTTGAAGGATCATAATTAGAAATCTGAGCCTCTTTGTTTTGCTATACAGGGAATGCCCATAGTACGTACTTGCCAGGCTAGCTGTGACAACTAGAGATAATGAATACAATACACTTAGCAGGCACTGCCTCACTACACTAGGGTGTAATTGTATTGCTACTCTGCTTCAGGACCTTGCTGGTGCCCCATACATAGGATAGTCAAGTGGGCATGCTTACTTAATCTAGTTTCACAATTCAGATTGGGACAGGCTGGCTACATTCACTGCACTCCAGGATCTGTCTCTAATATGCAGGGACAGCCTGGTGCCATTGAGCACACTTTTGGCTCCAGGCAAGGAGGCTACTTGCTGTTTCCCTGCTCCTCTCTGCCCTCCAGCTCACCTTTCAAAATGTGTACAGGTCATACTAGGGATCCAGAGGCACCAATTAGTCATTAGCCCTTACCCAGAGTGCCCCAGTTATCCCACTGCTTCAGACTTACAGGAGAGGTTCCATTTCCAGACATTTCAGCATTACGTAGTGGATAAACAGTGAAGTCCCCAGGTATTGCTAAACCCAAGGGTCACCATGGAGACGTTGGCCAGTGCCTGACAGCCTTGCCTTTCTTTCCTTGAGTGGCCGGGACCTGACTAGCTGAGAGACTTGAGGGCGGCTAAGTGGGTAAGCTCACTGAAGACTGCTTCCATCTAGAAAGCCAGGCTCCTTCATGTCCGGACACGAAAGTGCTTCGGGCCCCTCTGCCTCCAGACCCTCTGTTGGAGGAGGGGCTCCGCTAGGCCAGAGTTTGAGGCAGGGTGTGCGGGTCCTCGATCCAGCTCCCTGAGGGCACGCGCTGTGGGATGGGACTGCGACCTGGCTCTTTCCCGACCTGGCTCTTTTCCGCCTTCGGGGTTTTTACAGGCTTTGGTCCCTCAGCCCGGGGGACTGGGGAGGCCCTGGCTCAGGCGCCCTCTCCCGGGTCGGGGTCGCGTGCACCCTCCCCAGCCTGCTACCCGCAGGGGCACTCTCCCCTATCCCCGCCCCTGGCGTGGGCCCGCCCTCGCGCCTATGTCACGGCGGGCCGGGGGCGGAGAGCAGCCGGGCGGGACATCCGGCCCTGGTCCCTTGCTGCGCCCGCCCGCCGCCTGCTCCGGTGCCTCAGCCCGGGAGCCGGCACCCCGGTGGGCCGGGGCCACCCGCCAGCTCTTCCCTTTCCCGGCCTTCGGGTCTCTGGGGCCCAAACCTTCCTCTTGCCCCCAACCCGAGCTCGCCTCCCCGGCAGCGCTCGGATGGGCCCAGCCTTCGCAGGCCCCCACACCGGGAGCACCATGTTCCCCCGCCCACTGACCCCGCTGGCGGCCCCAAATGGCGCCGAACCCCTGGGCCGGGCGCTGAGGCGGGCCCCCTTGGGCAGAGCCCGGGCCGGGTTGGGGGGACCGCCCCTGCTGCTGCCGTCCATGCTGATGTTTGGCGTGATCGTGGCCTCCAGTGGGCTGCTGCTCATGATTGAGCGGGGTATCTTGGCGGAGATGAAGCCCCTTCCCCTGCACCCTCCCAGCCGCGAGGGCGCGGCCTGGCGCGGGACAGTCCCAAAGTCTGGAGGGCTGTCCCTGGATTCTGGGGACTCGGACTTGCAAGTTCGGCAGGACGTCCGGAACCGGACCTTGCGGGCAGTGTGTGGACAACCTGGCATGCCCCGGGACCCCTGGGACTTGCCGGTGGGGCAGCGGCGCACCCTGCTGCGTCACATTCTCGTAAGTGACCGCTACCGGTTCCTTTACTGCTACGTCCCTAAAGTGGCCTGCTCTAACTGGAAGCGGGTGCTGAAAGTGCTGGCAGGTGTTCTGGACAGCGTGGATGTCCGCCTCAAGATGGACCACCACAGTGACCTAGTGTTCCTGGCAGATTTGCGACCTGAGGAGATTCGATACCGCCTACAGCACTACTTCAAGTTCCTATTTGTGCGGGACCCCTTGGAACGCCTCCTCTCTGCATACCGCAACAAGTTTGGCGAGATCCGAGAGTACCAGCAACGCTATGGAGCCGAGATCGTGAAGCGGTACAGGGCTGGAGCTGGACCCAGCCCAGCAGGTGATGATGTCACCTTCCCGGAGTTCCTGAGATACCTGGTGGATGAGGATCCTGAGCGTATGAATGAGCATTGGATGCCTGTGTACCACCTATGCCAACCTTGTGCAGTGCGCTACGACTTTGTGGGCTCCTATGAGAGGCTGGAGGCGGATGCCAACCAGGTGCTGGAGTGGGTCCGGGCCCCACCCCATGTCCGATTCCCAGCTCGCCAGGCCTGGTACCGGCCTGCCAGCCCTGAAAGCCTGCACTATCACCTGTGCAGTGCCCCATGGTCCCTGCTGCAAGACGTGCTACCTAAGTATATCTTGGATTTCTCTCTCTTTGCCTACCCACTGCCTAATGTCACCAGGGAAGCCTGTCACCAATGACATTGGATGCAGGGCCAGCAGCTTTTGGGGGCTGGTATTGACAATTCCAGCTTCTTGTCCTTCTGCTTGCCTTTCAGGAAAAACCTTGACTCTGGGGCTTAGGGCTTCTCTAGATATGTGCATGTCAGGGGCTGCTCTCAGGAGTTCTTTGCCTAGAGTGGGTGCCTAGAGTGGCTCAGAAGGCAGATTTTGACAGGAAGCCTGCTGCTTCCCAGCGGGGGAACTCTTGGAGGCCAGAATGATCCTTACTCTGGCAGAGCCAGACACCAGTTTGCTCATGAGGAAATACATCTGATCTAAATATTGGCCCCAGGCCTCCAGGGATTGTACAGTTCCTGGTCCACCTTAATTTTACCTGTGGCCAACCCCAGATATGACACCAGCAAGGAGCATGATCACAGCCAGAGTCCCTGTGGCTCTGACCCCACACTTGTCCATCCCATGTGCCTCAGGACTAAAGAGAGGACTTGTGCCTTATAAATGGCTTTTGTGCCTTTTTGCTCCAAACCCAGAAGTTCCTACACCTGCTAGATTTCTTTTCATTTTTCCACAGAAAGGAAAACTGAAGCAGAGCCTTGCCTCCTAGTTCCAAAACCAGGCCCTGGAGGCATCCAAAGACCCCTGTGATAAGCCTCTTCCAAGGGCCCTGGGAACCTCCTCTGTAATCCTCTCCTCCCTGCAAGGCTTTTGGAGTTGTGACTGTGGCTAGTATGTCTGGCTGCCACATTTCTAGTGAATTTATTTAAAAATTGTACTTTTTGATAGAATTTTTGTAAGTACCCCCATAGCTGAATTTTAATAAAGCTGTTTTGTATACAAAGTGAGCCTCTCTGTGATTCCCCCTCTGAGCTCCTATGAATCCAGTAGATCTCCTAGATGTCTGTTTACCCAGGTCAGAAGACAGAGCTTGTAGGCAGAGACAGTAAGACAAGGAGTAACTTGCTTGGGCTGGAACTATAGATATGTGTCACTATGTCTGGTTCACAACTCCTTTTTGTTTTTACAAGGTCTCTCTTTTTTTTTTAATAATTTTTTAAAGAGAGAGAGAGAGAGAATTTTTTTAATATTTATTTTTTTTAGTTTTCGGCGGGCACAACATCTTTGTTTGTATGTGGTCCTGAGGATCGAACCCGGGCCGCACGCATGCCAGGCAAGCGCGCTACTGCTTGAGCCACATCCCCAGCCCCTCAAGGTCTGTCTTTTTTAAAACTATTTATTTTTTAGTTTTAGGTGAACACAATCAATATCTTTATTTTACATTTACGTGGTGCTGAGGATCAAACACAGTGCCTCGTGCATGCTATGCGGGCACTGTACCACTGAGCCACAACCCCAGCCCCTCAAGGTCTCTTTTTTTTTTTTTTTTTTTTAAAGAGAGAGTGAAAGAGGAGAGAGAGAGAGAGAATTTTTTTTAATATTTATTTTTTTTTAGTTCTTGGCGGACACAACATCTTTGTTGGTATGTGGTGCTGAGGATCGAACCCGGGCCGCACGCATGCCAGGCGAGCGCGCTACCGATTGAGCCACATCCCCAGCCCTCGAGGTCTCTTTTTAAAAAAATATTTATTTTAGATGTTGATGGGCCTTTTTTCTTATTCATTTATTTACATGTGGTGCTGAGCATCAAACCCAGTGCCTCACACATGCTAGGCAAGCACTCTACCGCTGAGCCACAACCCCAGTCTCACAACTACTTTTTTTTTTTCAGTTGTAGTTGGACACAATACCTTTATTTTATTTATTTTTATGTGGTGCTGAGGATTGAACCCATCACCTTTCACATGCTAGGCAAGCACTCTACTGCTGAGCCACAACCCCAGCTGCATCACAACTACTTTTTGAGTAAGAAGGGCCCTAGAACAGTTTCAAACAAAAATGGGATTTGCTGTGTGAGCAAAGAGAGGTTGTTTGCCAGGTGCAGTGGCACATATCTACAATCCTAGCAGCTTGGAAGGCTGAGGCAGGAGGATCACAAATTCAAAACCAGCTTCAGCAACTTAGTGAAGCCCTAAGCAATTTAGCAAGACCCTGTCTCAAAATAAAATATAAGAAAGGGTTGGACATGTGGCAGTGGTTAAGCAACACTGGGTTCAATCCCTGATACTAAAAAAAAAAAAAAAAAAAAAACCACAGTTATTTGTTGGCATTGAGAATAACAAGGAAGGGGCTGGGGGTGTAGCTCTGTGGTGAAGCACTTGCCTAGCATGTGTGAGGCTCTGAGTTCAGTTCCCAGCACTGAAAATAATTGGTAGGAGGGCAAGGAGATGATTTTGGTTCAGAGGATATTGTGGGAAATGTAGAAGAAATACAGTTGGAGAAGGAGAGGATAGACCTCAGTCTGTCCTGTTCCTCCCCTACCCTAGAGAAATCTCAAGCCCTCCAGAGGAGGAAGAACAGTAGGCTAGGCCTTCAGAGCTCATGCAAGAGGTGCAAAGTCAGAGATGGATCTTTCCTATATCATGCACTCCCCCCAACTCCCTCACCCCTTGTGGGGACTGCTGTACTTTTGGGATGACCCTGTTGTGAAAGGTGGAATAGGAGGGAGAGAGGGAGGGCACCCTGTAGATGTCATCTGTACCTAGCCTTGCTGTTGACCTGGCTTTGGAGAGGAACTCTAACCCCATTCCCCAAATTTGGAGGTGGGGGTATCTGTGAGCACTCTGCCATGACTCTCCAGGAGAGCTTACCTGATTCCCTGGGTCAGATGTCTTTCTCCAAGGTGCCTGAGTAATATTATTCTGAGTTTTCATTTCTTCCACTGCATCACAGGAATAACTGGTATCTTATGATGATTGCTGGGAGAATCAAGAGATAAAATGAGTAAAAGGACCCATCCCAGACATGGCTCAGTGATGTTCTAGTTGAACACATGATTCATCAGAGACCTGTACAGAGCAGATAGAAGCCAGGGGACTGTCCAGTCCAGCACCAGAGAAAGGAGATGCTTCTGGACAGAGCCCCTTTAACCCCTGAGTTGATTTTATTTGCCAGTGCATGAACTTTGGACCCTCAGGAGCCTTCTGCCCTATGCCACTCCCTGCTCCATTCTCCTTGCCTAAGAACTATAGCAACTCCAGATCCATAGCAGCCAATCAGGCCCTTCACAAGGGCTTCAGTGGGGAACCTGTCTCATCCCATTTAATCCTCAGAAAAGCCAATGCCTCAGATTTTATACTGTTTTGTAATGTGAAGACTGGCAGAGGGTAAGTAACCTGCCCAAAATGTCCAACCCAGGTTTGTGTGCTTCCCAAATAGGAGGAAGGGAGAGATAGACACACAGATAAAGAGAAACTGAAAGAGCTAGAGTTTGTGGAAATAGAGTTGAGGGACTTGGAAAGTGAAATTAGATGAAGGGTAGAAGGGGTTATGGGAGGGGCACTGACAAACTTCCTTCCTCCACTTTTTCTTTTGCAAAGAATACAATCCAACTCAGCTGAACTGACTGATTCCTGCCCTGGGAGAGTGGAAAACAAATGAAGTCTCTTAATGGGATTAGTTTATTGGTTATTCACCCCTAGGCAGAAAAATGGTGATGGTCAGAGTATCCAGATGGCCAGAACTGGACACCTCTGTTATGAGCAGGAAGGTTTTAAGTAAGAGGAAAGAATAGGGACTGGCAAGACAAACTGTGACCTACAGGGACATTATTTTACATAGGGTCAACCCCTGCGGAACTTAATTTGTGCTCTTTACCCTTCCTTTCCAGAAATTGGACTTATTAAAAGAAGCTGCCAAGGAGGTGGCAGAGAGTGGTGGGGTCCAGCTGGACTTGCCTTAGACTGGGCATCCAGGCCAGAGCTGGAGGGGTTGCAGGCTGTGGGCTACAGGGCCTTCTCAGGGTGGACATTGGAGCTGTATCTCTTGGAATTCCTTCTTGTTACTAAGTGCTCTGATCCCCCTACACAGAGCCAAATCCTATGCTATAGACTGGCCCCTCAGAGCACAAGAGGCCCATTTAGAAGTCATTCCATCCTGGATAGCCCAGTTTCCCTGGGCACAGGGGAATGAGGCTAGTATTGTTTAACTTCTCTCAAAGCTCAGGACCTTGAACAGGGGAAAGAAGGGGAGCCCCAAGGGGCCCCTCCACTTCTAGACTCAAATCCTCTTTCATTTCCCATAATGTCTGTAGTTAGTGCTCCTTAAATTCTGAGGTCCTTTCCTCTCCACCTCTGGCCCTTCCCTCAGGAGGTCACACCTTACCTTACTGGTCCATGAAGGTCAGGGGAAAGAAGTCAGGTGTGGTGAAAGAAGAGCACTCACCTTCTATAATGCAGGGACCCATCACCAGAGGGGGACAGGCTCCCAATTTCTCCCAGGATGACCCATTGCCTTTCTTTTCAATCCAGCCATTGCTTGATTTCAAGCAAGGGGATGGTGTTCTTTCTGTTCCCAAAAGGAAACATTAATAATTAGCAAGAGCTCCTCTGAATTGAGAGTCTTGTGCCAGTGCTTTATATGCATTATTCTCTCCATTCTTTTTTTTTTTAATTTTTTTGTTGTTTTGTTTATTTTTATATGGTGCTGAGGGTGGAACCCAGGGCCTCACACATGCTAGGCAAGTGCTCTATCACTGAGCCCCAACCCCAACCCATCCTCTCCATTCTTACAACCAGCACAGTAAGTAAAATTATTCCAATTTTATAGATGAGAAAATTAAACCTCAGTAATTTTCCCAAAGAGATGGTGGGTTTAGAATTAAAATCCAGTCCTAGCTGGGTGCACTGGTACACGCCTGTAATCCCAGCAGGAGGCTGAGACAGGAGGATCAAGAGTTCAAAGCCAGCCTCAGCAAAAAGCAAGGCACTGAACAACTCAGTATAAATCCTATCTCTAAATAAAATACAAAATAGGGCTGGGGATGTGGCTCAGTGGTTGAGTGCCCCTGAGTTCAATCCCTGGTACCCTCCAAAAAAACTCCAGTCCTATGTGGTGCTCCCCCAAAAGTGAACATGCTTGCTGCATTTGCTGATGAGCATTGTGTTCATTTTCTCTGATTTTGCAGCCTCCAGCCTCCTTCCCAACAAAAATGATTCTATCCACAAGACTCTCCAGATATTATAAAGTTCCGAAGGTTTAGGAGATGTGGCTCAGTGGTTGAGCACCCTCAGGTTCAACCTGGTACCAAAAAAAAAAAAAAAAGTTTCCCAGGTTTACCTACTATAAGAATCAACCCTTTGGTACTGCTGGACCTAGACCATGAATGTATTAGACTGTCAGTTTGGGTCCTTAGAGAAGCAGATGTGAACACAATTATACATGCAAGAAAATAACTGTTAAAGATACAGGGGAGGGCCAGGGTTGTGGCTCAATGGTAGTGCACTTGCCAAGCATTCATGAGGCACTGGGTTCGATCATGGCACCACCTAAAAATAAACAAAGTAGGGGCTGGGGATGTGGCTCAGCCATAGAGCATTCACCTAGCACGTGCGAGGCACGGGGTTCGACCCTCAGCCCCACATAAAAATAAATAAATAAAATAAAGGTATTGAGTCTAACTACAACTAAATAAATAAATAAACAAAATGAAGATACAGAGGAAAGAAGCAGGGGGAAGCAGGAAGAACCTACACCTGGGGAAGAAGAGAGGAATGGAAGAATCAGGAGGGAAAAGCATCAGATGACAGTGGGACTCTCAGCCATGAAGTCTCAGCCAGGCCAGTGGGGAATTCCATGGAAAATAGTCTATTAGAAGGCCATCTCCATGGGCAGAAATGGCTCAACCCAGCCTGTACCCCAGCCATGCTCCCACTTGTCTAGAAGCAGCTAGGGAAACAAGA